ATAGTTGTTATAATAACTAGTGTATTGTTAGAACACTACGCATGGCTGGATTTCACGTCTAACTGACCAGTGTGTGCACGTTCCGACCACTTCCACCCCGGGGCAGCGCTCTGACGGGGTGGAAGTGTCCAGAACACACAGGCAGTACTTGGCTGCTGATGCTAGTTTAGTTAGCGCTCACACTTCTGTTTCCTCCATCGGTGGCGGCGGGGGAGTGGCAGATACGCTCCACCGTTACCATCCATGTTTACTTCCATAAACACTGAGCACGCTCGCTGCGTGTGACGTCGTCGTGTCCTCTTCTGCGCATGCGGGACACTTTTGGCTCGTATGAAGTTCACACAGCAGATCACATACAAGTCGCATTGAACTGGAAACGTGAAGGAAGTCACAAAGAAATCCTCATTGAGCATCAAGTCCTGCAGTGTGAACGTAGCCAATCTGTGGGATTGTTCAGTCAGATAATACGCCGTCATCCTGATTGGTGACATTAAATGTCATGTCGGAGTCACAATCCAAGGCTGTCGCTATGTTAAGGCTGTTTTTATGGGTTCTGTTGGTTTTTCCTAGAAACCTGTCAGATAGCAGGTTTAGGATTGTTAAGGGTCGGATTATCGAGTCACGACTGTATTTAATTTAACTCAACTCACTTCATTTTAAACACCTTTTTTTTGAGTCAACAGGGTACAATTTAAACTAACACAGAGCGCATCACTCCTTGAGCTCGCTACAGTTTCTCTCGGTGGGATAATGGAATAAAATTAGAATTTATTCTCCGTCAATACTGCACCTCAGCCTGACCTCATCCAGTGGCTGGCAGCAGTCTGTGACTAATCTGTAGCACACAGTATCAACAGTTTCAGGGTGACATAGTCCTTATTTTATATTGGTCCAGTGATTTTTTTCCTATTTTTCCATTAATTAATCTGTCAGCTGTTTTACTGATCAGTTGGTTAATTTAAGTGATTAATTTTCCTCTAAATATGTGATTAACCAATACATTGACGTTCATTTTATTTTTAGCTTTATAGGCATATTTAGCAGCTACAGGGACAAACATATTAAAATGCTCTCTCATGAATGAGTAGAGAGCACTTTAAGGGCTTTGGCCTTTTCTGACGTCACGTCTTTCAGAACAGCTGCTGTGTGTTTTCTCCTCAGGTGTCCACGCGTTGTCCATCCATGATCTGTACAAACCACATTCTACTTCTGTTATCAGTCCTTTGAAGTCATCTGATAGCCTAGAACCTAGCCTAGTCTTGAGAACCTTTTACTGTGACTTAAGTGAGACTCTGCTGCAGTTGTCTGAGCCTGTAGCACTGAGTGAAGCTGACCAACGGCTGAATACCAATGAACTGAACCAATGTGAGCAAATGTGACTTCTCTGTCAGAGAACCTCAGGGCTGCATTAACACATCGGCTCCACTGCAAGACTCAGCAGAGGTCTTTTTCCATTTTTCCTTTGTATCATTAAGATTTTAACGCTACTGCTACTCATCTATCCAGAACAACCACACCACAACGTCCAGCAGGAGGAACTAATGTAAGCCACAAACCAAGTCCTGCTCTAACCCTGTCTGATGCAGCCTCTTGGTCGAAGACTTTTCATTTCAGCTTTGACTTGTCCATCCAGGCAGTTTGTAGAATCCCTCAAGAAACTGTCCACTCACTCCCACCCATTTAAAACCTGTAGCTCCAAGAGGAACAACTGGCACAGCATCTTCCCAAACCCAGTAAGGACCTGTCTCCCAAGCCAGTCTCTCTGCTCGACACTGCCCGGCTAAAGGTCAGCCTTCTGTCTTCCTCGTCTATCTGAGATCTCTTTTACACAGAATCACGTTTGATCTTGAGTTTTTGATTGTATGTCCAGGTGCCAGAATCCTCACTGCACCATGACACACACTCATTCAGCTCAGAGGTGATGAAGCACAGGGGGATGGTGTATTTGAAGGTCGTATGCAGGCACTTGAACATGGATCTAACCCTGACCAGCAGCCTGCACACGGCACACACTTACTTCTATCTTTATGAGGACACACACCGGTGTGTATTCCTGCCTTCCTTCACCCTAACTCCAACCTAATTCTAACCTGAACATTACAAACAGTGTGAACCCTTGACCAGCCCTTTGACGGTGTCAGACAGCGAGCGTTGGTCAAAATGTTCTCAGTTCCAGGGTCTAAACATCCAGTTGGCCCTCACAAAGACACACAAGCACAAACAGTGCAGTAGTTAAAGCCAAATGCTTTTGTGTGTTTAACTTGAGGTTTGTAATCACTGGTGTTGGGGTTCTTAGGTGTTGCATTCTTCACCTGGTTCTGCTTTTCACCAGCTGTGTAGTCCATGCATCGTGCCAGTCCTCCGTCAGGCTCTGTAGTGGTTCAGACACCAGCTACATCAGAGTTAAACAAAGCTGAGTCATGTGAATCAGACGGACCAGCACTGACCCACTATGATCCATTTCAAATGCAGCTCTCTGTTTTCTTCTGTTTGTCATGTTGAGCTGCTGACGTGTCTCTCCTGATGCATGGGCTCCACATGCCTTTCAGTGTGAAGGCAGCGGTCGGGCCTCACTGTGAAAGCAGACGGGTCGACCGTAACGCCGGCAGTCAGACTGTGTCACCACATGGACATGTTTTCTACTTTCTGTCACAAAGCTGTTTGGACACGTGAATGAAGTCATGATTTATGTGCTCAACAAAGGTGTCAGTAGAGACTAAAGCTGATATTACATCTTAATATGAAGGACCTTCTAGCAGGTGAAGCACATGGCACAAGAGCTGCATCGCGTACCACAGTCACAAAAAGAACAACGGTGTATGAACGTCTCCAGTAATGAGTGATGTGCTCCAGTTACCGCTTCATGCTCAATTCCAGAAGAATAATCCAGTTTTATCGGTTAATGTGTTCATGCTACAGGGTGGCCACGCTGCTCTGCTACCCAGCATGCTGCAGTTCCCCTCTTCAAACACAGGAAAGCACACTTAGAAACAGCAGCTGCGTACAGACTATGCTGTAGCGGTGATTATTCCCGAGGTGTGCTGGACATAGTGTGTAAATATAGCACAGGAATCCTGGAGATACGAGGCCTTTCTACTCTGTTTGGTCTCTGCAGAGATTCTCCTCGTGCAGTCGCTCCTCGTACCAAACGTTTGTTTTAAGGCCCGTTTATCGTCCTGGCACATGCACAGGAGGCAGCTTTCAGTGCAGTGACGTAGATGGATTGGCCTTTGTTTTCCTCCACCTGAAGTAAAATGACAATTTCAGTATGAATAGTAACAAAGGTTTATGTATGCATGTGCAAAACTACAGGGTTACACTGGAAAGTCCAACATGGAGAAATAAAAAAGGCTCATGTCAGTAGCACAGCTCCATAAAGAAATCCACATTCCTATCAAATCCCTTCACAAAATGAAAAAGCACAGAGCAGCTAAAGTTCCCTCTTTTCTCCTTGTTGTGCAGTTCCTTTGGTAATAGCTCTAACTTTTATGAAAATGGAGCAAATTCACTGCACAGCACTTCACTTGTGTTTAAAAAAATCTGGATTTTCATGAAGCAAAGCAGCATAACGTAGCATTACGTAGTGTCATGGAAGAAAAGCATTTGTTAGAACGAGTTGAAGAATTGTATGTATGTTTTTTGTTTTGTTTTTAAAAATGCATAAACATGGTGCAGGAGCATTACAGATCATTACAGTGTTGGGAAGAGAGTGCTGGTGTCAGGTCTGTGGTCTGTACCGGCTTTTTTCTCAATGTGGATATTAAGAGAAATAAAGTTGGGTCCTGACAGCATGTACACTTCAGGACAGAGTTTGGATCATAAAGCAGAAGCCGTTATGTGGTAGATGCAAGTAGACATAAAGGGTCTTATACCTGTGTGAGGTTAAATGTAGCTCGTGTAGGCACAGCGTAAGGCTTCGGATTAATGTTGTGTATTTGTGTCGGCGTCTCAGGAACCCAAGCCAAGTGCAGAAGTAGGACAAAGACAGAAAGTCACAACTGTAGGACCAGCAGATAGGGTGCGTAAGGACACATGTGCAAGCAATCATCCATTTGTATCGAGAACAGCAACGCTGCTTTTTCCTCATGTGTCTAATAATCTAGTCTGTGTTTTGTACAAGTCAACGGGTCTGACTGAAGTGCAGATCCCACGGCAGGCTGCAAAGCCACCAAGGCCTTCATCCTCTGTGGTCCCTCTCACCAAAGCCAGCCCGGTCAGCTTTCGCCATGTATGCGATATCTCACCCATCAAGAGTCAGAAGTCAGACCAATGTGGATCCACGCTGGGCGGCAGCTCTGCAGCAGGGGTACAGCTCTACGCAACCATCTGTGGTGGCAGGCTTTCCTTCTCTTCTCAGTGTTTCTATTCCTCACTGCTTCTCACAGACACTTGTGTCTGAATGGAGCTTTGTTTTGGTCGAACCTTAAAAGTCACGTTCTGTACACGTCTATGCAGTATACTGGTTTCTGTGAACTGGTCAGTTGTGTGTTTGTATGTGCAGCTGTTTGTGCGGGAACAGCTGTGTGACAGCTGAACTGAGGCTGGTCAAGCATCCTTGACCCACAATGACACACAGTGTTTGTGAGCAGGAGTGTGTCCCCCCAGACGTCCTGCTGACACACAGACAGAGGCAGCAGAAAATCACCAGCTTTCTGTCCACATGCAGCCCTGTGAGGACGCCGGGCTGTGCAGCTACGCCCTCCAAGGACGTGTTGGTCAGACAGGTTGGACTGAACGTTGCAGGGCAGAGACTGGGATCTCACTGAGTGGTTTGGTATAGACATGGTGGTGCTGGACGTAGTCACGTGGTGAGAGGTGTTAGTATCAGCCAGAGGGCCCTCTGCTGGCTCAAAGCCTGCAGCTACAGGCGACTCGAGTGAACTGAAGTTTTTGTTTGGAATCTGCTACAAGTGTTGTGGGACGAGAAACTAGCTTCCGTGCACTGGTGAGATGTATCGTCGTGTAAATCATGTTCACCACTGTCTGTTTTGTCTGTGCAGGTGGAGAAAATCGCAGCCAGTGACCAAACCCCCAAAGTGGAGGAGAAGGATGTTCTGAAAGAGCTCTTCTCCAACGACATAAACAGTCCAACAGGAATCTCGTAAGTAACTAGTGTTCATTTGTCCTATCGCTTAGCTCACAGGTTGTTCTTACCTGAAAAGACAAAACACTAAGAGTCACACTTAGAGTTTTAAGTTTTTGTTTTGTACCTTCCAAAACATGTATATTTTCCACATCCTAAATGCTAAGAGGACTTCATATATATATAAAATCACAGTCTGGGATTGATTAGCAACAACTCTCAATCTGATGCATTGTTATTTTTATGCAGTGTCATGACCTTAAAAAACAAAAGTGCCTCAAAAATACGGCCATAAAATCATGCCATGTTGAACTAATGTAAAGTCTGAACTCACAAGAGACGGATTGTAAAAAGCCTGATGAAGCAGAGCAACCGAGGCCCAGATCTTCCGTCCTGTATTTACCTTAATGCAACAGCTTCATTCATTCCCTACTTCACTGCCTCAGTTTTGGCTCCGAGGACAACCTCATGGTCCCTGCTGACACCTTCGCCCCCTGTGGTGAACCAGCCATAGCAACGGCAGCTGTGTGAATGCACCGATCCACTTCTGACATCTCAGATCTCATCTCTGTTTTCTAAATGTTAAATCTATACAGCTCACTGCTTGGAACTCATAAATAAAGTGACATGAGATCAGGAGATTCTGAGCTAAGAATTGAGCAACATTCAATAAACTGCTGCGCTGCCAGTTGTAGCAGTTCACCAGTGATGTCAAAGTGTGAGCTAGGTCATAGAAATGAAACCAGTCGTCATAATGAAGTGCTTTATTTCAACTGATATAGATAACTATTGATCATTTGAAAGACGATGATGGAGGGCAAAGGATAGAAGAGGCTTTCAGGAACAAGAGGGGAAGCACGCTTTTAGATTGTTCATGGAACCAGACTTTGCGTTTTCATTGTGGGCCTTCTCTGTACTTGGTTGGTCGTCCTGTAACGTGGTGGCAGCGTGGCTCAGAGGAGGTCGGCCCGTGTTACTGCTGAGGTGTTACTGAAGCCTGGCTTGCTTTGATGGCGGCCTTCAGCTCATCTGTATTTCTGGGTCTAATGTTTCTCATCACTTCCTGTACAATAGCCCATAACCAAAGCACAGTAGTGTCAGCAAACCATTTGGTTGTAGTTTGGATACTGTGGGGAGGAGTTCAGTCCTGCTAGAAAAGGACGTCACCATCTCCATGAAGCTCATCAGCAGATGGAAACACGGCAAACTGTAAAACCTCCAGGTAGACTCTGCGTTGACCTTGCCTTGATAAAACTCGGTGGACCGACACCAGCAGATGATGTGACACCAAATATCATCACAGGCTACAAACACTTCACTCTGGACTTCAAACACCTCCGATTCTGAGCTTCTCTCGTCTTTATCCAGACTCTAGGATCTTGATTACCTGATAAAATGCAAAATTTACTTTTATCTAAAAAGAGGACTTTGGACCTCTGAGCAACAGTCCAGTTCCTTTTCTCCTCAGCTCAGGTCAGATGCTTCTGACAGCTCTGGTTCAGGAATGTCTTGATATTAGGAATGCAGCGGTTGTAGCTCCTCCTGAAGACGTCTGTGCTCGGTGGCTCTTAATACACCAGCCTCAGTCCGCTGCTTGTGAAGCTCTCCCAAGTTCTTGAATCAACTTATTTTGACGGTCCTCTCAAGGTTCTGGTCATCCCTGTTGCTTGTGAACCTATCCCTAGCACACTTTTCCTTCCAGGAAGGGAAGTATTCTGTGTGTACTGAACTAAACTAACTCACTCAAACTCTAAATTCAATATTCCTATATTGCTAGAAGCCATATTCATCCAAATTTTGACAAAAAAGACTTGAAATATTTCACTTTGCCTGTTAGGAGTCTGTAACATATTAAATGTGCACTTTCTTAAATAACTGATGAAAAATAATATAATATATATCATAGGTTTTTACAATGTTGTATCTTTTTGGGATGCTCAAGTCTGTCCATATCAGTACACATACTCAAACAGAAGTGTGTTTTATTCATTTTTCATAACAAATGGGTGAAACGTTGTGGTTCAGCACTAACTGTCCACCTGTGGAGTGTGTCAGGGTCCAGGTCCAGTGCAGTCTGGACTGATGCTGCTTCAACAAGTTTCTTTCTTGTTGAGAGAATATAAACGGAGACATCGGGTTCAGTGAGGAGCAGTGATGTGATTTCCTTCCTGATAACACAGTTCAACATGAGCTAAAGGCAACAGTGCCAGTCCCTGGATGGACGATGTGCTGTTTGGCAGATGAACCACTTCAGGACTCTAATGTGTGTCTGTTGCAGGGCCACCTGTCGAAGGCCCATCCGAGGAGCAGCCGGTCGCCCGGTGATTCCCAGCGACCTGTGGAATGACGAAAACCGCATCCTCTCTCCAAAAACCAAGACGAGCAGCTACTCCTCCTACACAGAGCACCAGGCTGTCAACAGAGTGCCCACCCTGCCCCCCTCCACCTCCACCTCCTCCTCCTCCTCCTCCTCCACTTCCTTCACCTCCTCTAACTCCAGCTCTTCCTCCAGGCTCCTGTCTGCAGCTCCCCCTGCAGGTCAGACCAAAGCAGTGCGCCGCAGCATGTCCCTGTGGATAAAGCTGTTCCTGCTGGCCATCGTGGCTACTTTTCTCTTCCTGGTGTATCAGGCCATGGAGACCAACTCCATCAACCCATTTACAGGCCCAGACACAGAAGTGGCCAGCGGCAGCGCGGCGTAGAGAGTCCAGGAAGAGGCTGAGGGGGAAAGAGAAGCATGCCTGCTTCTACTTTTTCATTTTTTTGTGTGAATCTACATTGTAGCCAATTTATTCTTACCTCTGAGGCCATCATCTGTTTTGTCCTCATTTTGTACTGTTGTTTTTTTCCCTTCTCTTCTGAATCCGTTTTCAGTGAGCCCCTAAAGAGAAGTGACATAGCCATTTCAGTGAGACTCAAGGACCTCCATGACACGTTGTTTTGGTCCATCCTTGACCTTGGACCTCAGGTTACAAAGAAGCCAGCCACTAGTCTACTTTAGGACACACGCAGCAGTAAGACATATGAGGACTCGTGATTCTTTTTTTTTTTTCCTTTGTTGTTGTTTTGTTGGTTTTAATGTCATACTTGCATGGTGCGTTTGTTGGTGTGTTTGTACTGAATGTATGGTTGAGATTTATTTTTTTCACACTTTGCCTTAGTGTCTGTCTCTGTTTGTCATTAACAGTTTTAAAGATGGAGTCTGAAACTGTAATTTTGTTTTGTATTTTCGACCATCTTTGTTAATGAGACAGAGAGGCTTGTTATTGTAATCCAGAAGCTTCTAAATCTTCTTAAACCTCTTACACCAATATTTTTTTAATGTTCTCTTATAATAAAATGGAATGTCCTAGCGTATTCTACTTAATTATGTATTCACTGTCTGAAATATTAAGTATCCACTCAATAAACTATAATGTTGTTACTGTACCTGAAAGAGCATTTTATTCATGAGCCAGTCCTTAGTGCACTTTCTTTTTTTGTTCCAGATTCTGTTGGAAGATCAGAAACTGTTTGTTTGATTCAGTTCAATTCAGTTTTATTTGTATAGCACAGTTTACCACATATGTCATCACATGGCGCTTAACATGATAAGGTACAGACCTTACAAGTTTATAAGTTCATATTATCATAAAAAGAAATGCTCACCGGCCTTCAGCGGTATCCAGCCATACACATACAGGTGCTTCACAAAGTATTCAGGCCCTTTTCATTGCTGCACACGTTTTAATTTTAAATGGACATACCATGATGGCCAAAATTATTACAACACTTAACATATTCAAGAGGTTTCAGTTTTTGTGGATTTGGCCATTAAAATACCCATAAAACAGATGAAGTATCAAGTCGAGGTGCTTCGAGGAGCTGCCATCACAGGCACAGAACTACATTCGGTTCATCGAGGACTTCCTGCAAGTGCCAGTGAAGTGGGTGGGGGTCGGCAAGTCCAGAGAAAGCACGATCAAACTGTTTTGATCCGTCTGCAGTGTCCACATCCTCAATGTTGGTTTGGGTAGTAACTTCAGGTTTTCAGAGGGGTTTAAAATATAAACTCTGTCCTAAAGGCCTCATCATTAGGCTCTATAAACCATAGAATGGAACCATCACAAGGAGGTTTAGGGTTTTTTTCCCTTTCAAAACACAAGCTAGGCCTATTTCACTGTCAATGTCACACAATCATGTTTCTTCATCCATCCATCATCTCTACACCTTAATCCTCACCAGGGTCATGGGGGGCTGGAGTCTATCCCAGCTGACTCAGGGTGAAGGCAGGTTCACCTGGACAGGTAACCAGTCTATCACAGGGCTACACTTAGAGGCAGACAACCAAGCACACTCACATTCACACCTACGGACAATTTACAATCACCAATTAACCTCAGCATGTTTCTGGACTGTGGGAGGAAGCTGGAGAACCCAGAGAGAACCCACGATGCACGGGGAGAACATGGAGACTCCACGCAGAAAGATCCCGGGTGTCCTCACCTGGATGCCAACCGGCGACCTTCGAGGCAACGGTGCTAACCACTGAGCCACATGAAGCCATCACAGTTCCATCACAGAAGCCAAATTACTTGTGTAATCATTATCAGGTGTGATTACGGTTAAATTGGTGGTGATGCCAGAGTCTGTGTGACCAGAGAGGTTCTTCTGACTGTACAAAGCCTGTCCGGCTCATTAAGTTGTTTTGATCGTCTTTTTCAGATTTATGCCTACAGCAGCTTAAAATCATTTCTTTGTAGAAGCTTCGGCTGCAGTTGCAGCTTCTCGTCTACTTGGGTAAGTTTCTACAGGCACTGGACTCCTGGATTTGGGCATTTTATCCCTTCCCTTGCAGAAGATCCTCTCAGCATCCATTACACAAGATGGAAAGCTCCTGAACTGTGTTTTAAAGAGGACAGTCAGACACTTGCCCTAAAGCTTGTGTTGTTGTGGCTATATGCTTTGGGTCATCGTCGTGTTGCATGGTTAACCATAGCCCCCTGCCAGAGGGGAGTGATTGGAAGAGTTTGTGTCCAGGGTGGGAGGGGGCACGCCTCAGAGTCCTGGAGGTGTGCAGGTCCTGGAGGGAAGGCAGACCGCAGCCAATCGCCTTCTCGGCCGAGCGGATGTTGAGCTGCAGTCTGGCCTTGTCCTTGGCCGCAGCGTACCAGATGGTGATGGAGGAGGTGAGGATGGACTCGATGATGGAGCTGTAGAGGTGCACCATCATCCTCAGTCATAGAAGGTGACTTTGGGTGCATTTGCAATAAATCTGTTTCACTGAATTATCTACAGGCTGCAAGGTGGAGCAGTTGGTTAGCACTGTTGCCTCGCAGCTAGAAGGTTGCTGGTTCGTGTCCCTGTTGGGGGATCTTTCTGCGTGGAGTCTCCATGTTCTCCCCGTGCAGCGTGGGTTCTCTCCGGGTTCTCCGGCTTCATTAAGGTTAATTGGTGATTGTAAATTGTCCGTAGGTGTGAATGTGAGTGTGCTTGGTTGTCTGTCTCTAAGTGTAGCCCTGTGATAGACTGGTTACCTGTCCAGGTGAACCTGCCTTCACCCTGAGTCAGCTGGGATAGGCTCCAGCCCCTCATGACCCTGGTGAGGATTAAGGTGTAGAGATGATGGATGGATGAATTATCTACCATCCAGTGAAAACCTCATACATCTGAATGTTTTACAATCAAGCCTATTCTGCTTAATATCCTGTAAAGACAGGACGACATACTGGCACAGTCACAGAGTCAAAGGACCATTACGATATGTTTAAAATGTGTGCTTTATCCAGAAGGCTTTTAGGTTCTACTCTTCGACTACAAAAAACAACTGAGCTATTTAAACATGCAGCTCCGAAGTGTCTTTATGTAATTAGATGTGATGAAGTAATTATATCAGTAAATACAGACAAATGTACAACTATGACGTTGGGAAATAGTCCCACACAATTTAAAGGTTTTGCTTAATTGTAATGAAATATTTAATCCTGCTTATTTTCACAAAACACATTTATTGTAGATCACTGATTTAATTTCAGCCATTTTACATCAAAAATATCTGTTTTCCAAAGTGTGCATTTATTTTACAAATGCCAGTTTTCATCACTTTATCTTTCAGAGCAGTTGTGTGAACAGCTGTGTATTTATTCATACAGCACTCAGATCAAGTGCTGATCTAGGTCTGGAGAAGGACAGGTTGAATACATGTTTGTCTGCATTTATTTATATAATTATTAATTTCACAATGTCTCATAGCTTCACAGTGGCTGATCGTCAATATTGCACCAAACAGTTTACCGGAAGCAAATATTACAATTATTTCATGTCAGCAACATGAGCTGTTTGTGAAAGACAAGTGTGCAGAAGTCTTGTTTATACTCTGCTTTTATCATACTATGAATGCTTCTAGTCTACTTGGAAGACTTTATTGTGTTAAGTAGGTCACATCTATGTGTTCTGTTAACACACACTACTGCCGAGCATGCACACTATTGCCCTGACAGCATAGCCGCCGCATGGACGTGTACGAATGGATCCTCGCAGACTTGGGACGATGATGAAATTTATGTCATGTGGATTCTTGCATACTCAAGAATGGAGGAAGCATAACGCCGGCCTTATACTTCAAAGCAGATGCGTAGTTGCGCAACTGCAAACAGCTTTAGACACTCACAGATATGTCTCTGTTATTAGGCTGGCATTAGACTTCCTGCATCGCTGACTGTGCGTACAGTGTAACACCGATGGTTTGAGTGGCATAAAGTTAATTTGCAACTCAATATTTGTGGTTCTATATAATTATGTTACAAGGTCAATAGTGTGCATGTTTGGCAGGAGTGTCTCTGCATGGAATAGGTCTCCAAGCACACTACAAAAGCAATAGATCACTATTAGTATAATAACAGTGACTACGTCTACTCAACTTTCCGAGTGTGAGTCAGCGTGGGAAAGTAGAATCCAGGTTTTGTTTTGCTTTCTAGTCTGCTTGGAAGATTCTGTTCTCATAAATATGCAGTAGCTTCATGTCACGCAAACCCTCACAAACTCGGAAAGTATAACGGCCCTAATCAAACCTACTGAACTTGTGTCACCGGAACCATTACAACTATTTATTTTAATGGTTTGCGCTGTGCAAGGATGCGATATTTGCCACTGCTCCAGGTGAGGTGCACGTGCATCACAGCGTACCGTTAAGCGAGTTCACGTGCCGCAGCGTTCCAGCTGAACTTTGAGTGCTTTGAGTGCACAGGAGTCAACATGTTGAGCTTCACCCCCGCATGCTGTGACGTATGCTCCCACGGCCAATAAAAAGTGTTGTTGGTGTTTGCAACAAACTGGGAGCTTCCCACTTGAACGGATGAGGTCACGTAGTCCTGCTGAAGTTCTGAAATTTCCACCCATTCTGAGCACCGAGCCCAGCAGCAAACCCAGCGGAGATGCACAGAGCAAGCTGGGTTCGGTGTTAAAGGGCCTTCACACCGGCCATGGTGATGTCTATCAACGGAGATATTCTGGTATGTCAGGCCTACATGACGCTGCACTGCTCTCTCAGTTTTCATTTTCCACATTTGTCTACAGTCAGTTTTTGCTAACAAGAGAAGGAGCAACCTTCACCAGTGTTTTATGGATACCTGAATGCAGCCACATCCAAACCCCCCATCAGGTGTCACCAGGTGTTTTGTGATGCCGCAGGTTATCTCTCTAGAGAGGGTCTTTAATCTCAACCGCATTACTTATGACAAGAATAGAAGCAGCCGCCAACAGGTAATCCACTTAGTGCTCCTCTGGCAGTTTGCGGTTAGGAGTCCGAGTCACACACACCTCACTCCTGTTTGCTGAGACATGCACACACCAATTACTCATCTGACAGACACACACTGAATGAGTTTGAAGAATTCCCTCTGGTAGAAGCCCCGCCCCCTTCACTCAGTCCTACATCAATTCTGTGATTGGACGAGAGGTGTTGATTGACAGCTCCGGGACGTTTTCTGACCGGACAGAGACGTGGACGGACCCGCCCCGGATTCCTGGTGACGTCAGGAAAGGACAAATCGATTTACCGCGAGGTCATTCAGCCTCTCCGAGCAGCCGGTGAAGCTCAGCGGAGGCGCCATCTTAAGACACTGACACAGTGA